AATAGACCAAACAATGCATAAGGTGTAATATCAATTTCCGAAGGCAATATTGCTCTAAAGAATTTTCATGTATAAATGATGGAGTTGATGGAAGATCAACTGTCTGTACATTATTTCCATTTCCTCCTCTACCTCTACCTTTTCTCACTCTTACTCTGCCCCTCCCTCAGTTCGATTTTCATTTATATCATTGTCATGATCAATTTGCATTTGATCCTCTTGATTATTATTATCATCCTTTTCTTCAATATCGTCTTCATTTATTTCATCTTCATTAACTTCATTAAGATCTTTCTCTAATAATGCTACATAGATATTTATCACTTTCACTGAAAATTTCGGGAGCTTGTTGGAACAATTTCTTCTGCATTCATTTTTAAAATAATTGATTTAAAAATTTTTTTAAACTGAAGAATTTACTTCTCTTTATATGCCATTTTTTGGGTGATGATCACCATATGCGGACGATTTCCGAGTAGGTCTGACCTTTATTCCTGTGTTCGGAGGGATCCTGGCGAGGGATAAATATAAATGCACAGATATTACCTGGTCCGTAGATCTTGAGTGAATTATCCGACCGATACCCAAAGATCGATAAGATCGATAAGCCTTCTTATATGTTTTCCCAGGCTGAGGCTCTATCCCTACGAACTGAGGGATAAAGGTGATGGTATCTTTCTTTCCTATTTTATTTACTTTTTAATTATTAGTCGTGTATAATGGGAAAATCAATCTAATCATTTCTGAAAAAACATAATAATAAAAAATTAAAACTTACGCCGGGATCAAAATTGACCAGCGTCATGGAAAATTCTGATAACACCTCCGTATAATGCTGGCCAATTTGTCCCGGCGTAAGTTTTAAATTCCCTGATAGAATAATTAATACAATTTATAAAACAATGAATTAAATAAAAAAAAATATGATAAAAATAAAATTACAAAATCACATGATAATGATTCTCATATGACTTCTATATGAACTCTCGTTATAACGACATTCTCGTCATACTGACATTTTTTGCTTGTACGGGGAGTGTTGTTTTTATAACGGGAGTGACTTGTATTATGATATTTCCAATAATTAATTCGTTGTTATTCGTAATTAGTTTCGTCACCCGTAATAGTAATACGGTAATTAATTTCGTAACTACGTTTTAAAGAGGAAAATGGTATTAATTACGATAATTACGTATTACGTACTTACGGTAATTAGTCAATTGCCATCACATGTATACTTAAGACATTTTTAACAATTTTTAAATGTATGTTTTTTTTGACTATTGGATTATTGTTAACATTTTAATAAGTGGAATTTATATATTTCGAATTGACTTTATTATCTTTATTATGAATTTTTCGAAAATGATTTTGTTTTATTGTTTTAAAAATTGATAAATAATTTATCAATTATTTGTTTTATTTTAAAAATTTGTTACTCGCATACATTTGGATAGATTGTTGTTTATTAATTTATTTTAGAAACTTGGAAATGGGTTGTTACTCACAAACATTTGGACAAATAATCTATCTTGGAAATTTGGAACAGGTTGTTAATCGCAAATATTTGGATAGATAATCTATCAATTGTTCGTTTATTGATTTATTTTAGAAACTTGGAAAAAGTTGTTACACTCAAACGTTTATTTGCTTTATTTTAATACTGACCTTTGATTGTTTTATTATTTTATTTTAGAAACTTTGAAATTTTTATTAATCCATGGATTATAATCTATCAATTTTTTAGTGCATTTATTTAACAATCAATTGTAATGTGGATAATTCCATAAATTTATAATCACGTAAATCCGCTGTGATGATAATGAGACTAGAAAGACCCCATAAAAAAATCCGTTAATATTAATAAAAAAAGGACAAGATTTAAATTCGTTGTAACAAGAAATCCGTCCGCTATGACAAGGTTTGACTGTATACTTCTATTAAAAAATCAAAAATGGATGAAAATTATTATTAATGTATATTTTGTCGTATGCAACCAATTTTAGCCTAACAACTATATATGAAAACCTGTATAGCTTTCCATGCAAGTAGGCCTTTTGATTTGTAATTCTACTTGTAGAGTATTTTGAATAAAATTTGATATTTTAGGCCCGAAGATATTCCTGTTAACTTTTAAACATTTTTGGACATTTATAAATATGCATACTCCATGAACATCTTTCTAAATTTGATTAAATGCCACATGAAAAACGTAAATTCTTTTTATACAATTGGCAATATATGCATTTGCGTTTTGCGTTGCATTTTTCTATATTGATATGCATGAAAATGGGTTTGCGGTTTCTAGAAAGCCTTTACGAGATTGATCCAATTATCATATGCGTGAAAAGGAAACGAATAACATTAGTGCTGATCCATTCATTACATTGTAAACATAATTTTAATAAATTTTTTTGTATACTCTTAACAATGCTTCCATCAGAATTTCTATTCATAATACAAATTCGAATTATTCGTAATGTAACTCAATATTAATATTAATATTAAATTCGAATTATTCGTTTTATTAGAATAAACTTTCAGTGTAATTCGAATACTCAAATTCATAACGAATAAAAACAAATAATTCGAATAAACCTTATTCGATTAGAAACCTTACCCAATCAAATGCTGATAGGCATTATACAATGCTTGGACAGAAGAATCGGACACACTAAATATATCAATTACACAAAAATTTACACAAAAAATTTGTATCAATTTATGGCTCAGGTCCCGAAGATTATGTAAGTAAAATCTTGTCTTACTAGATTTTCTACAACTTTAGCAATTAAAATAAAAGAAACATGATCATTTTTAGAAAAAAAGTTTGATGACAAAAATTTTTCTAATGACCATACATATAACAACATCTCTTGAAATTTATACATGTGATAATCCAAAATCTTTTGATTGTAAAGAGATTTTTCTTGTTTAAAAAAATTATTTGTCAAATTTTTGAAAATTTCTTTTCGAATTTCTTGTTTAAGTTCTAGTAAATTTAGAGACATAAGATTTCAAACTTTAAATAAATCCGCATCTACAAAGTAACAATACTAATTTTCGTGCGTATGATACAACATATTATATTATTATAAAATAACTCATTAAATATCTTTTAAAAGTTACTATATACCACTACCGCTATAATCGGTCTTCATCATCATTAGCATTATCATCTTCGTCTACATAAATGCATGGAGAGGTATGTTGACGATGTTGTCGTTGTTGTATCATCATCATCATTATTCTTCAGAGCCCATAAATAATTCTAAAATATTTGTAGGTACCTCCCTACATGCGATTCACATCTTGTAACACCTTCATATAATTCATAATTGTAATCTTTTCTTCATCTTGTACAGTTCCATTAAAATTCAGTCGCCCTGCCTAACGTCTTGAAATGCAAACCATTGTAATATATAATGGAAAAAAATTTTATAGTATACAGTATGTATTTTTTAATTTCCATGGGAGAATGCGCTATTTCAAAAATTCCACGCGCATGTCATGCACTGGGTAGTAACCATAAGCGAGAAATCAATAAAATTGATCATAATTTCTTCTCCAAACTATTATAAAATGTTATAGAAACCTCGAGTGATAAAAAAATTTTTTTATTAAAAAAAAAGTCTTCCAGAATAGTGTTACACGACAATTAAAAATGCCAATTTCGATTAAAACCTTATACAACAATAACAATCAATATAAAAAAAATTTCGAGATGATGCACAAAAAATATTTTTCTTAAATAAATATAAATAATATTAATTTTTTATTTATAAAAAGGGGGATGGAAAAGATTTAAATTATCATTTGAATTTTTTGTTATGTTGGAAGTTTCAATTTCCAATGTATGCGTGAAAATTTTATAATATTGTTATTGTATGCGTGATAGTTGTGATATATATAACATCATCAACACTATTTTATAGAATAATTATTAATTAAAAATTTTTTAAAAAAATAAAAAAAATCTCTCAGCTTAAGATCAAAGTTTTGTTTTTCAATACTCTTCTCTCCTACAATTTATAGCTATCAGTTAGAAGTCAACAGCTGATAAGAGCAAGAATGTGCGGTTTCGGTGATAAAGATAGACGTTCTATTGATCTACCACCTGTAGTAAAATTAGTTGTGGTTAATACTGATGGTTGCACTGCTCCTGAGAGGTATTGTCATAATTATAATTATAATCATATTAATATTGATGTTGATAAAAGTAATTGATTAAAATTACACGACTTTGAAAATTTTGAAATTTATATATGTGGTCTCATAGTTATTATTGATGTCATCTTCATCTTCCTTGTCATCTTCTTCTCGTCATCTTCTATGAAAGAATTAATACCGTCTTTTCCATTATCAGGATTGATGATGCATTGTAGTAGTATTTGTAGTAGCAGTAGATTGGTCAACTAATTTTGGAATAGGTTTCAAAATGGTTTTTGGTGATGATGATGCCGATAAAGACGACGCAACTAACGAAGTTGATTCTTTAACTTTTCCTTGGCATTATTTTCATGTTCAACATTATTGGATTTTCTATAACGAGTTTCTTTACGAATTGGAATTTTTATAAAAGCCTCGGATCATAATAATGTCGATTCTATTTCAATTAAATTATATATATATGGTTAATAAATTTGAATTTCGTTCATAAATACTATTAATCGATTTGAATTAATCCAACAAACAAGTTTCAAACCTGATGGCAAATTGGTTATCGATCATTTTCAATAGTAATAATAACAATAATAACGATAATAATAAACAAAATCCATGCTGGACTGTGGAATGAGGAGGATAGAACAGAATAACGTCGACTAGTTATCAACCCATCCACAATTCCAGCACAATCATCCAATGGTCCAAGTTTAACAGTTTGATAATTACATGCGCCAGCTCGTACGTGTGACTTGATGTGACATTACACTCCATCTGCATATGTACTGAATAATTATTTAGGGTAGCCGGATTTTTATTTCTTATTTCAGATATATTGGTACGGACCGAAGGCTGCTTCATTTTCCTTCTACAACTTAAAAAAACTCTTGGTTCGGTGAGTGCCTGTCATCCATTTACACCTGCATTAATTGTTTATTATTTAATTTTTTTAATAATAGTTGTTTTCAATTAATATTTAGATTATATCAAATGTTTATTGTTAGTTTTGACTTACTATCTTAAATTAATATTTATTTATTGAATTAATAAAGTAGTTCGTTAAATGGTTATCCAAACAGCTGTGAGTCGGTAGTCGCCGAAGTTTTAAGTGCACCTTTTAAAGTTTATTCTTCTTTCCAGAGATGAGCATGTAAGCGTTGACATACGCAATCCTTGTTGTTTCAAACTATTTTCTATCAGTTTTGAAACTTGTTTGTTGGATTAATTCAATATCACCTAATTAATAGTATCAATTAATATTAACAATATATAATTTAATTGCAATAGAATTGACATTAATAACCCATCGAATTTACGTGTACGAGCTCGCGCATGTAATGATAAAACTGTTGGACTTGGACCATTTGGTGAATGTGTCGGAATTGTGGGTGTGTTGATAACTAGACAACGTTCTTTCGTTCTATTCTCATTCTACAGTACAGCATGGACTAATGATTTATGGAACAATTAAAGGCAACTCTGTTGATAAGACGATGGAATATCACAATAATGAAAAATAACTGAAAAGTTCAATCTAAGAAAAAAACTCATGAATAAATATTCTTTTTAAACACATAATATTTATGTTCATTTTATTCATTTTTCGCGTCAAATTAATTAAATTTTTTCGATCAACGTAATAGAACTAAATATGGAAATCAATAGCGAATTATTTTCCCACATAATAACAATAATAATCAATATTTAATTTATAATCCATTTTATTTAACATCTTTTTTTTTTTTTAAGATGATAAGAAAAATCAATTAAGATTTGCATAATAAATAAAAAACTTTTTTCAAGAACAAATAATAACGGTTTATTGTTAAACGACGTCCTGAAGAAAAATTGTTGCACAGCTGGCTATACGTCATTATTAATTAATGTAATTAATATAAACATACGGTACTTGATTTTAAATCCAGGTTATTTTGGAAATAAATGTCATTATGTGTATCATTCAGAAGTCCACTTTCAGCCTAGAAATTTTATTTAATAAATTTGGAATTGTATTTGTTCACTTTTTTTGCGGATATTTAAGAGCTTTTTATTATATATGCAAAATACAAACACACAAAAAAGTAATCAAATATATACACGATAAATTGATTGGATAATTTTTAAAACAAAAAAATTTTTTTTTAACAAAAAGACATCAACCGAGATTTTAAAAAACCCAGATTAGCAATTGGGCTTTAATTAAAAAAATTTTTTTTGTCGCCATCTCAATATTTTACATTTAAAAGTCTTTGCCACATCGGATTATAATTAAATTCGCTCCATAAATTGCGACAGGGAATTATTATTTTAAAAAATGTAGATTTAATTTGTTTAAAAATGGCATCAGGAAGCCTTTATCTCCCGAAAGATCAATTATTGTAAATATACTGACATTTAAAAATTTATACTAATGTATCACATATTATAGAGTAGTTTTTCAATTTATTCTTGAATATCACCGGAGTAACTATCAAAACTTGATCATTTGGTAACAAAAAAAATCAATTTTTTTTAATTTTCCATGGGAATATGCATGATTTTCAAAATTCCGTACGTGTGTCGTGCATCATTAGTAACAATAAGTGAAGAACCAATAAAATTATTTTTATGTCATTTTAAAAGATCTTTCCAAGATTTTCTGTATCACGAAATTATTTTAATTTTAAGAAATGGCCGCCTTACAACTTATAACTTATAATAAAAAGAAAAAAGTAAACCGATGAGGATGAAGTTTAGGTATTTAACTTCAATTCTATCGGTTTAATTTCTTCTTTTTCTTTTTTAATAAGGAATTATAAGCTTTTAAAGTCACGTGATAATCATTGACCGTTATAAAGCACTATTACTATATTATTAATTCGTTATCTCAATTTCTCTTTCAAATAAATTATTTTATTTTATTTTTTAATTTTCTCTTTCAAAAATAAATTTATTTTATTTACTTGACAAAGGCAAATATTCTACTAACAATAAACCTCTGAAGATTTGTTTTTTGAAACTACAATCAAATTAAAGAACTTTATGTGGATAAAATAATGTAATATATGTCAAAAAAATATGAAAAATATACATTTAAAAGAGGCTCTTAACTAGGAAATCTTATTTCATTACTATTGGTATTATTATTTTATTTCGTAATATTAATCCAAAAAAAAAAATATATATATATATACAATATTTCTTATAATTGTTATTTTACTCTGAACGTTTTAGCATTTAGCAAATTACATATAAACAATGCGTAAGAAAATTTCACTTTATCTGTGTTAGACAAACACTAGCGATCAAGAAAAAATCTAACAATGTTCGATTATAAATTATTGTCCAAGTTTTTTGCTTTGATGTTAATGAATTCTGCGATATGACGTTTCCTTAGAAAAGAATCAGGTTAACAATATAATAAACTGGAGAAATCTTTCTGTACAACAAAGATAAATTGTTATTTTGCTCTTTTGCTATAAAAGTTTTTATAACATTATTTGAACAGTGATGACGATAGAATTGAGTTTCGATTTGGTCAAAAGATTAAATCAGTTGGTTATTTTAGTTATTTTAATAGTGTATAAAATTAAAACTAAAGGTCATTTCAACATGATTTTTCGAAAAAGAGTTGTTACAGGTACTATTATCATTAAATTACTCTATGATTTTTCAAGTTTGAATTTTTCATCTTCTATTTTCAAATTTAGATACTATATAACTTTCTAGTCAACCCCAAAAGTGCAACAGATATTTGATTATTATTTCTTGTTGATAAATAAGGATGACAAAGGAAATATGGAACTCCTTGACATCCAATATCCGAATCGAGAGCTTGGTAGTAATCTCAGCATTATGAAAATTAAAGAATGGTTGACGAAATACTTTGCAGGGCGGGGAATTCTTTCGTCAAACCGTTGTTCATTTGACGAAATTAAGATTAATTAATTAAACCGATCAGACTTTCATAGCCGATGATCAAAAGTATGGCTAAATACTGACTTTATATATGTCACCAAAAAAATGATTTAGATTCGGAACCCTTCGCCTAGTGATGGATTATCGCCATGATAAAAAAGAATTACTATGGTAAATACACAATGTTACTCTACATATTGAATTGTTATATAAGATCAGTATATAATGCCATGTATAACACAAACAGGTAAAAATTATTAAAACCTTGGGTTTTCTAAAGACTCTTATTGCTGCGCTATGTAAAATTTTTTCAAAAAAACAGGACCACACATGATTTTAGTTTTTAAAAATTATTTTTTACTTACAAATTTAGTAATGATATAATGACCCAAATTCCTCGCGGACATAGTAAAATACATGTACTAGAGAAGAATAGAACTCTACAACAAATAATTTTTTAAAAGGTAGAACAGAAGTGACTTTTATACTTTTAAAATTTATGCAAAATTTAGGAGGTCTTTAGACCAAGCCAACTATATATTGGCTGAAATATTTGCAATATATTAAAAGCAAATCAATACGTCAACGTTACTAAAAATTTATCTGATTTGATTGGTTGAATTAATTTTGCCAATTTCATCAGTTTTGCCACTTCGTCAAAAAAATCCTTGGCGATAAATTTTCATCATATGTAATTCCGTCAACTGACTAAATCCAGCAATTTTGTCAACCATTTTTAGTATGGATGCATATTTAATATGACTAACCTTTTTTGTTCCAAGGTAAATATAGCACGGATCTTTTTTTTACTATATTAATATTAATAATTAAATGATTAATTCGATAAAAATGCATGCTGCGCTGTATTTTCTGTGTTACTAAAGTCAAAAACTTGCAACAATAATATATACAATAATATTTTGTGCATTATTTATCGTGTAACCATTTAATAGTGACGATCCAAAAATTCGAAATTTTTGTCCGTCTTCTCTATCACGTATCACGAATTATAAACGTAAAAATCATATTATTTTTGATATCTTCTACAATGATATGTATTCATTTTTTAATTTAACCAATCTTTTACTGAAAATAAAATAGGCATTATTCATTTGAATAATGCGATATTAATCATTTTTGTGCAACTATTTACGGTGACACCTTCATTTACTTGAATTCAATGAAAATCCCACTTTGGCAGTTAAAAAAAATTTTCTTCTTATTTTTCATTACCTTGTGAATTTGGTAAACGAGCAATGAGCTATAATTCTGGTAGGTTTGGTCGGCTTATAGCCTTTTAAAGAAACTTGTAACCGTGATATTTAAACGCTCAAATAGCAAATATCGATTTTCCTTTTATATAGTAGTTCTGGATGAACTATTACAACAAACAACTTGTTACGGATTACCATATGGAATTTTCGGGATATCCTGTTGGGCCATTACGATTTTTGGTGTTGCTTTAACATACTTTGATTTTCCTCTGTTTACACCATGGCGATGGGGTAAGGCTTATAAATCACAAGATCCATTGTTAGCGGTCATAACAAGTGCTATGGTGTTAGGACCAGTCATCTATACGTGTATTCATTGTCACGGAGAATGGCAAGTAATACTTTTGGCGGTCGGGCAGCTAACTCCATGGAGTTTTAAGATGATGAATGATGGTCTTAGAGCTCGTAGTGTGATTGCTTGTGGCAGTAAAGAACAAGACCCCCATAATATAAATGCACTGTACATTACTATTGGTATAATTTTAACGATTCTACTAGCTGCTGGCGGTTGGGCTGGTATATTTGGATTGAGCCTTATGTTGGTAAACACGACAAAAGCTGTTAATAATTGGATATGGATATTATTCGCAGTGGGACTAACAGCATTTATAACAATGTGTGTAGCAATATGCATCAGAAGAAATGAATTAATCATTATTATGGCGGCGTACGTTTCGGCAAATCTCCATATTATAGGTTCGCATATAATTTTGGCCATGATTTCTGGTAACTGGAGTGGATTTGCTCTTTCAGGAGCTGGGCTAATATCATCGATTATTTTCTTTGTCGGAAAACGCCTGCTATTCTTTGATTTTGAGTGTAATTTCTAGCGATAAAAATGTTAAAAAATTTTGGTAAATTATTTTTATATTAGTTGTTTTCTTTAGATTATTTAGAAATAAAATAAAATAAATAAATGTAATTCATGTTATGACTTTTTAAAAACACTTTTTTGATGTAATAAGTATATCATACAGAAAGAAAAACCATCGTTTCATCTCTTATTCGTTTGGGACAAAGTCTTGACCTGATAAATGCTGTGATATCCTGACCCTTTACACCATATTTCGTTCTATAATTTCTAAAGGACAATTATTATGCTGTTGTGTAATGAAATATGTCACTCTAGAAAATGTAAGAAAGTTTTTTTTATTAAAATATTAATTTATTAATATGATTATTTTATTTTGAATTTTACAGTTTTTATTATAACGAGCTGAAGGTGATGTGGTTGAAGTTGAAGTGGTAGTTGTAAAACATATAATCAAAAAAAAAGTATTATTTTATAAAAATTAAAAAAAAAAATTAAAAATTAAAAAATTACAATTATCAAGTAGATTGAGAATGAGTACTCACAAACTGGTATTGATTACCCTTAAAACAACTGTGTCCGAGTCAATGAGACGACTCTTTAAAAAGACTAGCTCTTAGGCCATGGTTTACAGTTGACTCAACAAAACCAATATCTTTTTATTATTATTATGATTTAAATCATATTCCTTCCTCTTTTACCAGGCGACATATAGAAGAAGATGTAATTTCATTTTCGGATTTATCATCATCCTTTCTTTTAAAAAACAATGATGTAGCTTCTTTGATTTCACCTTTTTAAAAAAATCTCCACAGGGAAAGCTCTTAAAATCAGACTTTATTCTAATTTGGAGGAAACAAACCATATTAGTATTGGTCGCTGAACATACACCAATGCTTATCATTGATATAATATTTACGTAAACATTATATCAATCAATCTAAAAGATTTACATCCATTGATTCTGGGTACTTGATATCCCTATTAGCATTAGAGATTGACCTATTAAAAATTATAAATCAAAAAAATTAAATTAAATTTAGATCTAAAAAAGCCAAATTGCAGTCAAATGTCATTAGAACAACATATTAAGGAAGAACCAGAGGTGTTTAATCATTCCTCAAAACACCGAATTAAGATATGAATGTGACTTACCATGAATTATATTTGTGAATTCTACTTGTATACCTTTCTCTAAACCACCTGAAATTAAAGCCAGGTCCTAATTTTTTTTGGCAATTGAAGAAAATAGAGGTTCTGGCATCATTCCTTTTGAGGACTTTCATGACTAGTTATAACCTAAGCTATGAAGTTATAGAATGGTGAAATCAATACGTATCGCTGCGTTTGCATAAAATAGAATCCAAAGTGAAAGAGATTCTATTCACGATAAAGCAAATGAGTATAAAAAGATATAAGCTCCATAAGAAATTAGTAGTCTTGTAGATGAATGTCATTGAAAATTTGCAAATGGTTATGCGAAAGCTACCATGTAATTTTGCTTTCTTGTATAGTTTAAAACACAAGACATGGTCAAAAATGATGATGGTTTTAGAAAAATTCAATCTAAATCTGCAATGCAAATGTTGACCTGGCCACATTGACACTTTTGTCAATATTTGTTGCATAAAACTTACAAGTATTTACGTTGAGGAATACACTAGCAAAATATGTGGAAGTTGTGGTCAAAGGCCTTTAGATGTACGTATTATAATTGCACCATTGATAGAGATGTAAACGAAGCTTGTAATATGTTTTTAAAATGCAACGACAAAAGTCGCTTGCAATATCGAGACTTATACCTTCTTGTACTTGGGTATATATAGGTTCAATATAGTATTTTTTTTGATAAAAATTTTGATCCAAAATTATTAAAATTAATTCTTCTTTTTTTAAAAAAATAATACAGAAGAGCAAAAGAGCCGTGTGTAGTTGCCAAAAATGATGTTTCAAATGAAATTGGAAGAATGTGGTATGATCAAGTATCGGAAAGAGCATATGAAGATAACCCAGAATGTAGGTATAAATCTCGTCGTCCACAAGATAGAAAACGCCATCTACTACCAGAAACTTATGAAGGGAAAGAAGGAAGCGAAGGATGGACAAGATGCGTTAAAAAAATATCAATAATAACAATCTTATTGATAACAACATTGATAATAAAAACTATAACAATAATTACCCATTTTGCCTTCAAAATACGTATAAATGATCTTTTGTAGATAGGATGTTATAGAAAATTATATACATTTTATTAAATTAGAAATTAGAAATCAAAGGTTAGTGACGAAAAAATACTTTTCTAGAAATATTAAACAACATTGTTTAATTACAACGAAACAATAATATCAAACGCTTAAATTTATTTATTATTTGTTAAAAGAAAATGTTAAAAATTTATATGAACATTCTTTAATTTGGAAAACACTGACAACGAAGTAAATGATTGTGTTATAGTGAATTTGGTATTTAACAATAATTGAAATCATGATTTGACATTTCACGTATAGGAATTAATGTTTTGATGAATCGGATTCGTGAAATTATGTATGTAATAGCAAAGTGTGATTATATCATTTTTGATATTAATATAAATTTTTGACGTTAGCTTGATATAGCAACAATTTTTCAATATTAAAAATAATATTTATTTATTAAAATTTGATCAATCAATGACATGCGCTTTGTTTATTATGTACTATTGATAAAAAGTGGGTTTACGTACTTCAGTATATCATAACATTCTCGTAATAAATATTATATAGCTAAGCTTTCTAAAATAATATAACAAAATTTGGATTATGGACTCAAACCACCCGAAACTAGTTTAGGGTAGGGGTTTAGGTTTTAGTGTAGGATCTCGCGTGAATCTGTTTAGGAGTTTAAATACACCTTATATTTGATTGGCTAATTTCAATTTCACGTACAATCATTGAATGATATAAAATTTTTCCGATTGTCAAAATAAGTATTTTTTTGAAATTTGTTAGCTACCATTTGAGCTATTTGATATTTATCAAAGAAATTAAAATCGTTCGGATAGGGTAGATTAATATTTATAAGTCCATAAGAACTACAACAAATATATAATAATACCAATAGTACAAGCATGAGATTTTCTTGCTGGATTATAAATACTAGTTCTGTTCTAATAAAAGCACTTTCTTGTGGTTTTCTTGGATAATTTTTATATAAATGTGCAAATAATGCTCGGGGTAAAATCTCAAAATAAACCGCTATTTCCTCCGAACGTTCATATATTTGGTTCTAAAGAAGAACCCTTGTCAATTGGTTTGGTGTTGGTGTTGGATAGTGGATAATTAATAGTTAAACCCTGGGTAGTACAGGTATAAGTTCAATTTTACGAAGTAAAATTGAGCTTAAACTTGTATTATCCCAGTGGTTTAACTGATTTATCCCCCA